TTTTTTTTTTTTAGAGACGGGAGTCTTGCTATGTTGCCCAGGCTGGTCTTGAACTCCTGGGCTCATGTGATCCTCCAACCTCAGCCTCCAAATAGCTGGGATTATAGGTGTGAGCCACTGTAGTGGCTTGAACATCCTTTTAACATCCTTTTAATGTCGTCTCTGTGCAGCTGGTCTGCTCCAGGCAACCATCCTGGAATCCTAGAAGAGCTTTTTTACCAGTCCTCTGCAGTTCATCCTGCTTGTAGGGCCTGAAAAATGAGTCCTCGTGTTTGCTTTTCCTCATTGCTTTTCTGTTCAAGAGCTTCTCTTGGCTTCCTAGTGCCTATTTCAAGCTCACATCCTTCTGTCATCTGATTCTGTCCTGCCTGCTGAGCCCTGTTCTAATGCATCACCCTCTCCTGCAAGAGAACGACTTTTCTCATTGCCTGCACACCCCTGGACTTAAACATGGCTCAATCCCAATGTTTCCTTCTCGGTTGCTTAGGTGAACTTGGTCTCTCTGTCCTCTCTGCTACAACTCACTGAAAACATGGAACTCTGGCTAATTGTGTGCATGTTGGTTTCCATGCTCAGGGAAGATCTCCTGGTGCTTTCCTGGGGCTGCTGTAGCAAATTACCACAAACTCCGTGGCTTAAAACAACAGAAACGTCCTTTCTCGTAATTCTAGAGGACAGAAATCGAAAGTCCAGGAGCAGACAGATCCTCGTTCCTTCTGGTGACTCCAGGGAGGGTGTGTTCCTTGCCTCTTCCAGCTTCTGGTGGCATTCTTGGCTTGTGGCAGCAGGTCTCTGATCTCTGCCCCTGTGGTCATGTCGCCTCCTTCTCCTCTGTCTCATCATCCTCTGCCTCTCTCTCTTTCTCTCTTTGTTGAGTCAGGGTCTCACTCTGTTGCTCAGACTGAGTGCAGTGGAATGATCATGGCTCACCACAGTCTCCACCTCCTGGTCTCAGGCAATCCATCTGCCTCAGCCTCTTGAGTATCTGGGACTACAGGCACATGCCACCCTGCCTGGCTATTTTTAAATTTTTTATAGAGATGAGGTCTGGCTATGCTGCCCAGGCTGGTCTTGAATTCCTGGGCTCAAGCAATCCTCCCACCTCGGCCTCCTAAAGTGCTAGGATTATAGGCATGAGCGGCTGCACCTGATCCCTCCCTCTGCTTCTCTCTCTCTTTTTTTTTGAGTCTTACTCTGTCACCCAGACTGGAGTGCAGTGGCATGCTCACGGCCACCCCAGCATCAACCTGCTGGGCTCAGGCGATCCTTCTGCCTCAGCCTTCCAAGTAGCTGGAACTACAGGCGCATACTACCACGCCCGGCTAATTTTTAAAATTTATTGTAGAGATGAGGTCTCACTAAATTGCCCAGGCTATTCTCAAACCCATGGGCTCAAACAATCCCCTCACCTCAGCCTCCCAAAATGCTGGGATTACAGGCTTGAACCACTGCGCCTGGCCCCTCTGCTTCTCTTATAACCACCTATGATGACAGTTAGGGACCACCCAGAAAATTTCATTTTAACAGCCTAATTTTAACAGCCTAGCTTGATCACATCTCCAAATAATTTACCGTATAAGGTGACATTCACAGGCTCCAGGGATTAGGACCTGATGCCCTCAGGAGCCATAATGCAGAGCTCTTGGAGGTGGTCTGAGTAGCAGCCACACAGTGGGTGCTCTGTGTGGCTTTGGTTAGCTGATGGAACAAAGTGGATTTGGCAGAGAAGAAGCAGGCAGAGCTGGAGACAGCAGCAAATGATAGCTGGGATTAGTCCATAAATACCCATTTTGCTCTGATTTCTACAGCCTAATTATACCTTTCTAATTTGAGTTTAGCTGCATTTACTGAACACCTGCTGGGGGCCAGTCATGTCATAGACATGCCCACTTTCCTTCTTTCATTTTATACTCACAGCAGCCCTTGGATGACGTGTCACTGCCCTGATTTTGCAGAGTGGGAAACTTAGGCTGACAGAGGGTGGGGTCCTTGCTGGAAGCACACAGCTGGGAAGCCAGGCTGCAACTGAGATCTTCTCCTCCTCCTCCTCCTTCTTTTTTCTTTTCTCTTCTTCCTTCCTCCTTCATCATCTCCTCCTTCTTCCTTCTTCCTCCTTCTCCTCCTCCTTCTCCTTCTTTTCTTTGCCACCTTCTTCCTTGAAAACCACACAGGGTGTCTTTGGCTCTTCCCAGCTTCCTCCCGCTACTCTGTGCCTGCTCGGTTGATTTTATGGCCACCTCCTCCTCTCCTGCTTTCTCAGCACAGCGGCCATTACTCAAATCCATTTCTTTCTTTCGTGTGTGTGTGTGTGTGTGTGTGTGTGTGTGTGTGTGTGTGTGTTGGAGTCTCACTGTGTCACCAGGCTGGAGTACAGTGACACAATCACAACTCACTGCTGCCTTGACCTCCAGGGCTCGGGAGATCCTTCTGCCTCAGCCCCCCGAGTAGTTGGGATTACAGGCTCATGCCACCATGCTGGGCCCCAAATCCATTTCTGACCACTGGGAACGTGATAGAACATTCAGAAGAGCTGACATCAGCCAATGGCAACACTTACTGCAGGCCAGACACTGCGCCAAGTACTTCACATGCAGTACATTTTATATTCCCAACAAGGCATGTGCTCTTATTGTCCCCATTTTTCTGATGTGGAAACTGAGACCCAGAATGATATGTACTTACACAGGATCACACAGATGGTAAAAGTTAGAGTCAGGATTTGAACTCAGGTGGTTGGGCTCCAGGCCCTATGCTCTTAACCACTGTGCCATTTTGCCCCTCCAAGTGGTGCAGTGTGACTATCATTTCTGAGAGAGCCTCAAATTACAAATTGTTCAGCAAGAGAGAAGGTGAAATAAACAAACACATAAACGGAGAGATCCCGGCCCTTTGTCTAATTTATCCCTCCCTGAGTTTTACTCTCTTGCGCCATCTGGTGTTCAGCCTGGGACCTGCAAGAAAGTGTCCTCAGATGTTTGCACTGGCTGATGGGGCTGCAGTGTCCTGCTGGAGACAAACTCCTCTTTTTCTTCTCATTTCTCTTTTCTTTTCTCTTTTTCCTTTCTTTTGTTTTCTTTTTTTGAAATAGGGTTTCACTCTCTCACCCAGGCTTGGGTGCAGTGGCACGATCACAGCTCACCACAGCCTCAGCTTCCTGGGTTCAGGTGATCCTTCCACCTTAGCCTCTTGAGTAACTGGGACTACAGGTGTACATCACCATGCCTAGCCAATTTTTTGATTTTTTTAAATAGAGACAAAGTCTCACTCTGTTGCCCAGGCTGGCCTCGAACACCCTGGGCCCAAGCAATCCTGTCTCAGCCTCCCAAATTGTTGACATTACAGGCATGACCTACCACACCTGGTCCAAGATAAACACTTCTGTCTCTCTTACAGATCTTTGAGGTAGTGATAGTTGTGGTGCATCATGGCTTCTTTCCTGGCATCCAGAATTACTTGGAAACGATAACCAAACAAAAATCTGCTCTCTCTTTCCCGGCAGTCTCTTTGTGGCAGCCTGCCTGTGTCTCTGTGTCTCTCCTGTGTCTCTGTGTCTCTCCCCTGTGACTCTGTGTCTCTCCCCTGTGACTGCTTCTCTTGCCTGGCACAGAATCCCTGAGCCAGGCTGGCCAAGGGTGCCAGCATGTGGTAGGAGTGACCCTTTTCACTCATGACCACAGTCGGGAAGAAGACTCTTTAAAAAGGCCTCAGTTCTGAGTTCGTCACCTTGACAGATGCATAATGAGTATCTGCCAGAACTCGGTTTTGCTCTAATAGGCTTTTGTCTCCCCAGCGATACGGACATTTCTGAGCATTGAGATCCCAAAGCGACAGAAAAATAATGGAACCAAGCAACGGAATTGGCAAGGATGCTACTGTCGATACAGGGCGTCCCTGAGCATCGTCAGAGTGCGGGTCGTAGGATGTGCCCCGCTGGGGAGGCTGGTGCTTGGGGGGCAAGGGGCTGGCTGGGGCAGGGCCCTGGGCCCGAGACCCCTAAGGATGCCCCTGCAGCATCTAAGCTGCTGCCTTTCCAGAGAAAGCTGGTGGTCAGAGTGCACTGAGCTGGCGGGATCCTTCAGATGACTGGACAGGGGGAGGGAGAGTGTTGGGGAGACAGGATGAGCGAACCATTGCTGAGCGGGGCAGCTGTGAGGACCACCCAGAGATGCTCCCTCTGTGCTGGCCAGGAGGACTCATTGAGGGTGTGGCTGACTCCGTTGCCCAGGCCCGCTCACAGTCTGTGTTTGGATGGCCCCACGGCTTCTCAGCATCATGCTTTGAATTCTTTCTCTTGGCTGCTGGGATCCTGGAACTCCTCCATCTCTCCCTTCACGTTGGGAGCAGGAGGCACGGCTTTAGGTTTGGGCTGTCTCCCGCAGGTGAGGGTGTTTTTCTGTAACTCAAGGTCACGGGCATCCCCAGAAGTGGCCCTCGCCTCAGCCACGGGCTTGGCTGGCATCGTCTCTCAGTGCTGCCTGGCTTCACCTCACCTGGCGTCCACACGGCTCGGGGTCTTGAGAAGCATTTCAGTCCTGGGGTCCGAGGACCTCTATGTTGACTGTGACATGTCTGTCTTGCTAAAGACTCCTCTATGTCACCGCACAGCCCTCAGGATGAGGTTCGCGCCCCTCAACATGGCTTCTCGGAGCCCTTTGTAATCTGGCTTTTTCGGGTACCCTGCATGGCAGTCTCAATGAACAGATGCAACACATGTGTCGCATGCCAGGGCTCTGTGCCTTGCCCATGCTGTTCCCTCTGCCTGGAAAGCCATTTTCATTTCATCCTCCCTGGTGAACTCCTACACACCCATCAAGGCCCAGCTCACATGGCCCCTCCTTCCTGCTCCCTTCTCCTCCATGCATCTTGCATCTTTTAGACATTCTCCTCTGTCTCTTGCCTATACCCACCACTACCATTAAGTGGACCCTCCTCAAGGACAGGAGCGAGCTTTTCCCCTCTGCTTTTCAATCACTCTTGATGAAATGGAATGAAATGAATGAAACTAACATTTGATAATTTCTGACATATCGTGCTGGTAATTTCACCCAAATATTTAATTGAACCCTTACAACCTTGAGAGATAAGCACTGTCATTCCCATTTATTGATGAGGGGGCAGAGTTCTGAAATAAAACAGATTGCCCCCCATCTCCCAGCTCATAACCACCCTAATAACCGAGACTTACAGGGCATTTACCATGGGCTGGGCACTCTTTGACTATCAGTAGATCCCCTTCACAGAGGAGGAAACTGAGGTCTACAGGGACCCCAGGTCATGGAGCCAGTAGGTAAAAGAGCCAGACTTTGAACTCAGGCAGTCTGGCTTCAAGCTAATTGGCAGGCTGAGGATGTGAACCCAAAGCCCACATGGGGAGCGTTGACTACCATAAGGAAAGCTGTTGAGTCTTGCAGAGCGTCTGAGGATCCCCGGCTGCGGGGTGGGCCCAGATTCCAGCGCAAATGCTCCTGCAGGCGGCTCTGCCCAACTCCTGGGGAGGTTGTGTTTCTGTGTGAGCCACATGTGGTCTTTCTGATGGCACGTCCTTGCTTCGGGCCAGCTGTGTGCCAACTGGCACTGTGGCTGCCTGGGTGCTGCTTCCCACCCCATGGTCTCGTGGTTGACCCCATCCTCCTCTGTTCCAGGCCACTGCCAGGGGGACGGCTACCGTGTTGGCTTTGGCCAGTGTGCTGGGAAAGTGCTGCCTGCTCTGTAGCCAGCGTGAACTTCTCTCTGCTCTTCTGGAGATGAAGGGCTCATGCCTGCCCCAACCCCGCGACCATGACCATAATTGGGACCCAGGCCTCCCACGGGTCGCAGGCCTGGTTCTTCATTCAGTGATAAATAAAGCCGTCGTGCCGCCTCCACAGCCTGAGGCCCGTGCTGCAGGCAGTGTCTACTGGTGCTCTTGTCTCGGTCCAGTGGGTCAAGGTGTGGACAACTACCTTGGTGGATGTGCATTCATTCGTTTTCTTGTTTGTATGAGTGAGGTCAAGGATCTTTGTGGTGTGTTTTCATTGACAACCCTGGCCTCCCTGTATTCCTGGGAATAAGGAAAGAAAATAGTACCTGTATGAGTCAGGCTTTTCCAGAGAAACAAAACCACTACAATGTGTGTGTGTGTGTGTGTGTGTGTGTGTGTGTGTGTGTACGCGCATGCGCTCACATGTATATGCAGAAAGAGAGAGAGAAGGAGAGAGATATTTATTCTTATTTTTATTTATTTATTTGATGCGGCATCTCATTCAGTCACCCAGGCTGGAGTGCAGTGATGGCCACCGCATCCTCAACCTCCTGGGCTCAGGCGATCCTTCTCCCTCAGTCTCCCAAGTAGTTGGAACTACAGGCATGTGCTACCACGCCTGGCTGATTTTTAAATTTATTTTAGAGCCGAGGTCTCATCATGTTGCCTAGACTGGCCTTGAATTCCTAAGCTCAGGCAATCCTCTCACCTCTGCCTCCCAAAGTGCTGGGATTACAGGCATGAGTCACCACACCTGGCCAGAGAGAAATCAAAAGACAAAAGGCATGAAGAAACAACAACAAAAAAGAATTCGTATCACTCTGAATTTATGTTATGCCGAGGCCTATGCATAGGTACTTACAATGAATTCATTAATATTGCAAAATGTGCTCTGGTTGCTCTGCACCACTTGAGTGAACACCACACAAGCTACAGTACTTCCAGAGCCAGAGATTGGACACAGAATGGGAAAATGGGTATTTGGCATAAATGGGAAATGGTGTTTGTTGGGGCAAGAATCAGTTGCACTCCAGCTGGGAGGAGGTGTGCAACACACTTCCACTGTTCTCCCATCTCTGGTGTTGGACCCACACTGTCCTGTGTAACAGTCACATAGTCACTTTTATTTCAAGGACACAGGGCTGAGATGTGAGGGAGCATTCTCCTGGGGCTTGGACAGGGCTACTCCTGAGAGTGGACATTTGGGGTATGGGTTGGGCTGTACCAAGCTGAGGCCTGAGGGTGGAGGTGCCCCTATGATCTTGAGCAAATAATTAGTGTGTGGATATCTGTGATGAGCGGAGCCTCCGAAGCCTGGGTCCTAGGGAAGGCTCCCACCCTTTACTCAGGCCCAAGGCGATATTGCTTCTTACCCTCCATCTCTGGATCTCACACTGGCTCTGATATTTTTTGCATAGTTGCAGGACTTGCTCATTTCTAGTTTTATTTTTTATAGAGACAGAGTTCCTCTATGTTGCCCAGGCTGGTCTCAGACTCCTGGGCTCAAGAGATCCTCCTAGCTCAGCCTCCTAAAATGCTAGGATTACAGATGTGAGCCCCATGCCAGGCTCAGATTTGCTCATTTCAAATGGCAGAGATGAGACTGGATTCTAGAACTTTCAACCTCCAGGATAATACTTTCCTCAGGCTGGCACATGATGGTCTAGTGTGAACTGTGATTTTGACCTGTGGCGGCTAGCTCTCTCAGGGCAGGGCTGTGCTTTCCTCGTCCTTGTGTCCCAAGTCACCAGTACATGGCAGTTGCTTGTAAGCGTGTGTGACATTGCACTCATGCGTCCCTATTTCATAGCTATACACACAACACAAAATCTTCTTTCAAATGACATTAGTGTTGAATTTGGGAATCCAAGATAGAAAAAAGGGGTGAAAAAAAGCCATGTGCATAAGGATGTTTATTGAATTGTTTTTATAGCCTAAGCTCCAGCCACCTGGATGTCATCAAGACTTTTAGGCTTCTGGGGTTACTCTTCCCTTAAAAAAATACACACACACACACACATATACACACACACACATAATTTTAGAAACAGGGTTTTCCTCTGTTGCCCAGGCTGAGTGTGGTGGTATGATCACAGCTTACTGTAACTTCGAACTCTGAGGCTCAAGTGATCCTTCAGCCTCAACCTCCTGAGTAGCTGGGACTACAGACATGTACTACCATGCCTGGCTAATTTTTTATTTTTTTATTTTTGTAGAGATGAGAGTCTTGCTATGTTACTCAGGCTGGTCTTGAACTCCTGGTCTCCAGCAATCCTCCTGTCTCAGCCTCCAAAATTGCCTGGATTACAGGCCTGAACCACCACAGCTGACCCTTTCTCCTAACACATTCATAGAAAGCCTGAGATCCCATCTTCCTCTAGGGTAAAACCATCATCTCCCCCCTCAATAAGATGCCTGGTGTGAAATGGAAAGGACTTTTAAGAGAGAGTATAATCTTTGCGGGGGAGGTTGGTGTATACAGACCAGCTGCTTCTTTGTGTAGACAGGCTGAAGGATTCTTACTTCTGGTGTCCTATTTAGTTATGTACATTAGGTAAGTGCACATGCTTTTCCTTGGAGAAAGATTGTAGTTAGACCTAGCAAGGGTGTCTCTCTCCTTGGTGCAGAAGGATGACCCACATTGCATAAGAAGCCCAAGGGATGTCAGGAACTGATGTTCCAATCCCCTTTGCTGAATACTCAATGTTAGAAAATTGGCTTGGGAGCAGCCACTGGGTCCCATCCAAGACCTGCTGGCAGGAAAGAACACCCAGGGCCTTCTGCAGGTTAGTCCCCCTTTGTTCCTCCAGATTATTCTCCATCTTCCCCGCCTGCTCTGGGGTCTCTGGAAGGCTGACCTCAATGGATGACATCACCCAGGCTCAGGCCCTCCAGCTTCTGGTTGGGATCGGGCAGTGGAGGTGCAGGTTGCTATGCAGAAGGAGAAAGAAGCTGGGAGTGTTGTTTTCCTTACTCATTCTCGGCAGTGGCTGTGTCCCACCGTGTCCCTGTACCTAATGTCCACTGCTCCTGTGGGCAGCATAGCCACAGCCCTTGCTGGGTCTGGCACCACTTTTTTCCTCAAGCGAGGGGTGTGCAAACAGCTTCTTATCATTGTTAACCCTGGATGGTTTACCATCCCTTGATGGTTCTCTTAACCCTGTCTGCACCTTTGAAAATAGTCCCTAAGTTAAACCCTCTTCAATGACCCTCTTCCCCATCCCTCCCTTTTTTTTTTTGAGTCAGAGTCTCACTCTGTTGCCCAGGATGGAGTGCAGTGATGTCATCATGGCTCACTGCAGTCTTCAACTCCTGGGCTCAAGTGATCCTCCTGTGTCAGTCTCCCAAGTAGCTGGGACAATAGGTGCATATCACCACACCTGGTTAATTATTATTATTTTTTGAGTCAGAGTAGCACTCTGTTGCCCAGGCTGGAGTGCACTGGCACACTCACGGCCACCACAGCCTCGACCTGCTGGGCTCGGTGATGCTTCCACCTCAGTCTTTCAAGTAGCTGGGACCATAGGCACACACCACCATGCCCAGCTCATTTTTTAAAAAATTTATTGTAGAGACAAGGTCTCACCAAGTTGCCCAGGCTGGTCTTGAACCCCTGGGCTTAGGCAATCATCTCGCCTTTGCCTCTCAAAGTGCTAGGATTACAGGCATGAGCCACCATGCCCAACCTACACTTGGTTAATTTTTAAACATTTTTTGTAGACCCAAGTTCTCACTATGTTGGCCAATCTGATTCAATGAACGTTTAGAAAGTGCCACCACTTGTATCCTGATGAATAAAGTGATTGATGTCAGGGGAGGTAATAGGAAACTGAAAATAAGATGCTGGAATTGAGTTGCTCACATATTTGATGAGGGAAGGGGTAATCTTCTTGCTGGGAGAAGAGGGACACAGATCATCTGAAGCTTATAGTCCTGTCACAATTATCAAGATATCACCAGTGGTAGCATAGGAGCAAAGCATTAGGAGACTAAGAGTCATCAACACTTGGTTGTTATGGAAATATTAATGATTGCATCAATCACAGGGTGGGCTGAGAGTTTACACCAAGAGGAATGTAGACTCCAGCCCTTGAATTTGTAACCCAAGCTGCAAGTGGAGAGTCAGAAGGCACCTATGAGGCAGTTAAGGAATCTTTTAGTTCCCTGAGCCCCAGGACACACATGGTTAAGGATCTGGATCAAGGTCTGTGTGCAGAGCTGCTGTTAAATGTGCAATCTTTCCAATTATCTTATATAAGGTCAGGACGGTGGTAAAGAGTAACCCTGAGACTTGGGATGAGGACATTTGGGCAGACACAGTTGAGGTCGACAACTTTAACATTTTTATTTCAATAGCTTAGAAATAGAGTGGGTTTACGCTACATGGATGTGTTGTCTACTGGGGAAGGAGTCTGGGCTTTAAGTGCACCTGTCACCTCCACTAGAGCACATTGTACCCGATAGATGACTTTTTATCCCTCCTCTCCTTCCTTCCCTCCCCCTTCTGAGTCTCCAGTGCCCAATATACCATTCTATATTAGGCTGACAACTTTGAACTCCCCAATTCCCCTGAACCTTCTTTGTCAGTGGAAACAGCCCTTTCACCCCTCTGTCTGAGGGAACCAGCCTCTTTTGTGTTAAATCTTTCAGTGACTTCACCTGGGACAGGCGCAGGACACACCCTGTCATCCACACTCTTATTGTCTCCAGGATCATAACTAGAGTTAGAGCTGAGCACTGGCCAGAGGAAGAAGAGCAAGATCTTTGGCATATACACGGAAGGAATCACAGAATCCTGCCAACTTGCATCATCAAGAGTCTGATGAACATGTGTGGGAATAGATTCCAAGAGATTTAGAGCAAGGAGGATAAAATAGAAGACAGGAATTAATTGATGTGCATACACTCAAGGAAGATTCTGGATCTATTATGTTGACTTGAGCACCTGGGAGTGTTGTAAACTGTCTGCTAAGTTGATCTGCTTCATTGAAATCTAAACCCAATAAGCAGCCTTCAATCAACGAGGTTGAGGTGCCTGGAATTTCTCTGGAATGACCAGAGGAAGTAGTCTGAAAACCCAGGGGGACAGGAATGTTGAAGTGGGTCTGTTATGTGCAACGAGATCAGTCACACCAGA